GGGTTTGGTGGGGAATTTGGGAGGATGGGAAGGGGAAGGAATGAGGGGATGGATATGTAAATGTGAGTAGTAAGCCCAGGAGGTTGGTATTAGCAAGTGCACTATTGTGCTGGCCACATAACAGTCAAATTTTTACAGTAACCACATATTCCCTCTACATCTCTTAATGAAAATCTTATGAAAGGCTGAAGAGTAGTTTTGGCAGGAAAAGCACTTCCCACACAAGCCTGAAGCCTGAGTTCAATCCCTGGAACTCACATATAATAGCTACATGCAGGGGCAGGAATCTGTAATTCCATCAAGACGAGATTACAGTGAGATGGGAGGTGGATCAGGAGCATCAGACGTGTGTAGGGAACAAAACAAGACAGACCCTACCTTAAAAACAAGTGGGAGGAGAGAATGGACCCTAGACAAAGTGTCCTATGACCTCCATGTGTGTGCTATGGCCTTCAGGTGAGGGGACACATACACACACATACACACACACACACACACACACACACACACACACACAAACATTCTTGAGAGTGTGCAAGCACACACACACACACAACTTTTTTGAAATTTATCATTTAAAAGTTATATTGAAATTTTTGCAATTTACTACAGTTTATGCTCCAAAAACTTAGTTAATACCTTTATGTGTTGCCCATTATAAACCAATAAGCACTTTAGGACAATGACTGGTTATTCTTAAACATAGAATAGAAAGTATCTTAATATAAATGTAAAACAACATTAGCAAACAGAGCCAAAGCACAAAAAAATCCATCACTGGTGAAGAAAGAAAATGTGGTGATTCTCAGCTTCTCTATTGTTCTTCCCAAGAAGACAAATATCTCATAAACTACAGCGGAGGAGTATCATGGGAGTCAAGAGCCAGTATCTTCCTATTGCTCACTGCTTCTAAGGAGGATCCAGCACAGGAGTTAATCCCCGAGAATACTAGTCTGGGGAGACCATTTTCATCTGTACCCTACTTGTCTGCTCAGCAGACATCTACATATAATCTTCTCAATGGGTTGGTGTCGTGTGACAGCTAGGATGGCCCAGAGGACACAAGAAGAAGAAAACAATCTTGATATTATAATTCATAAGTATATAACCTATCAGGTTCAACAAGCAATGTAATAATAAGAACATTTGGGGAATGTGAATGGTTATAGCCCTGACAGGGCTGAGCATATCAAGAATTTGTTCATCTTGATAGTTAAGTATGGAATTGTTAAGATAAACAAATGTCCTTGATTTTTAAAAACTAAGAAAAATTAAGTATTCAGGAATAAATGATTATATAATATTCTTTTTAAAAATGTCAGTAAGAAACTACTTAGATGTGAGGTTCACCACTTGTCTATTATCCCTCCTGATCCTGCATAAATCCACATAGGAGTCACCAGGTCCATTATTGCGACTCTTGCTCATCTCTATCATTAATACCTAACGCAGGAGATGGCAACAAATGTGGACAAAAGATAAGGAAGCAGAGAGTGAGGGCAAAAGGATATCCTAGGTTTCCATTTACTTGCTAAGATAAAATGATCTTATGAAAAGTAAACAAGGAGCAAGGGGCTTTATTTCTGCACAGTTCAAAATTATAGTCGACCAGTGCAGGGAAATCAAGGCAGGAAGCTGATGGAGCTGGTTACATCTAGTCAAGAGCACAGAGAGGATGAATGCATGCATGCCTGTCTGTGCTCAACTCACTTTCTCCATCCTCATGTCACCCAGGACCCAAACCCAAGGAATGGTGCGGCCTATGATGGGCTGGGTCTTTCTGCATCACTTTTTACATCTATAACTTAATCAAGACAGTCACACACTGAGATGCCCTCAAGGCACCCTGACTACAATTCCTCATAGAGACTCTGCTAGGTGATTCCATGTGACTCTAGACTGTGTTGACTTGACAGGTAAAACTAGCCACCACAGACAGGATAGGATAATAACACAGAGAGAAAGGCTACAGGAAATAACAGGCAACAAAAAAGCAAAAGTAAATGCTAAAGAGGCCAAGTACAACTTTGAAGGGAAATAAGTGCAGAGTGAAACACAGAGCCAGAGTCCTCCATCTCATGTTGTGTGTCAGCCAAGAAATACAATCAAAAAGGAGCACGTTTTGTAGGGGAAGAGACAATAAACAGAATAAAGTCCTTGTCATATTCCACAGCCTGAGCTAGGAGTGTGTCTGTCAGTCACTCCCACCTCCACTACCATCTCTCATGGCTACCTACCAACCGGTGCATCCCAGGGCACCATGACACATGCTTGATGATGTTGGATCCCCACCACAGCTCAAACTCAGAGAGTAGAGCTCCTGGTTCTAGCGCTGTGAGAGATGGAGTGTGTAGAGCTCAGACTGTGCCCACCTGTGTTCCTTGTATTATATAGGACAGTAGTTTTCAGAGTTGCCTTGCCCTGAGTGACTCCATTTCCTATAACAGTGGTTTGCTTCGTTTGAAAAGCAAATGCTGAGGCAAAATGACTCTGCCTTATGTGTGCAAGTGTCCAGCATAGAGAATAAACATAGGTTAATAAATAACTTATTAGTATAAATATCAAGCCAGGAACACCTAGACCCATGGATGTTTGAAGACCTTGTCCAAGATAACATGCTTGTGTGTTTTCCCAAAACACCAGATCCATGAGCGCTGCAATGCCCTCACTTGGATCATACTCTGAGGCATCATCAGGCCACCTGATTCTGCATCAGTACATACAAGGCCACAAACTCTAAACTGCAATCCTAGGACTTCTGCTCACCATGATCAGTCCAGATTGAAGTGGCTCACTTGAGCTCACAATTGTTCACACCCGTTATGCCTGGAGTCAGCTCTGTGCTTTGAAGCAATCTGCCCCTTGAACCACCTCTATATCTTGAACTGACACCAAGCCTTGAACCAACTATGTATTTTGGCCATCCTGTTCCAGAATAGCTCTCTCTGCATGTGCATATGCTATGTGATTTTGCCTTCCACAAATCCACATATATGCACAGGTATGCATGTGTGTGTGCACTCACACCCACACCTCATGCTCATGCATATATACATAAGAGATGTGGTAATGGTGGTCATGTATTCTAACTCTGAACTTATATAATATCATAATATGCTTTTGAAGTAAGAGAAATCTGACCCCCTTCATCTTTCTGAATAACAACATTTATACTCTACTCAGTTGGGCTCATTTGTTTCTTAGGAATTTGATATCTAAGGGGAGTGTATGCACTCTATTATGTCTGCTTCTCATTGGATCCTTAGATAATCACAGCGATATTTAGAGTTCATCTGGAAGGAATCTGTCTGTGACACCACAGTTTAATACAATCTGTAAGTGTGCTGTGCTGTGTCTTAATGGTGTTTGTGTGTCCAACAACTTATTATTGCTGTTCCTTCTACAGGAAGGACCTCTCGAGATGTCTTCCAATAATGACCCTGTAATAATCCCAGTGATAGAAAGAAATCCCAATGACTTTCCTGGAGTGCACACCAGTGACCCGAAGACATTGACTGGGGAGGCTGTGTTAAGCTTTCATAACATCAGCTATCGAGAAACAGTGCAGAGTGGCTTTCCATTTTGTAAAACATCTTGTGTGATAGAAAGAGTATCAAATATCAGGTATGTGCATGAACTAAAGAGACAAGTATATTGAACAACTTTTTCAGAAAGCATAGACATTCTGTGTGCATGTATGTATTTATTTGTATGTATGTACTTGTCATTGTATGTGTATATATATAATTGTATGTGTGCATGCTCACACGGGCAGATGTGAATGGGTTGACACACTGTGACACAAGGCCAGAAGAGAACAGCATTGACCATTAGTGTGCACCTTCTACCCTGTAGCAGACAGTCTCTCGTTGTCCACTGAGGTGTATGCCAGGCTAGAAGCCTGCAAGTGTCCTGGGATTCTCCCTTCTCTCCATGGAGCATGATGTTACAGGTGCCCAAGACTGCACCCAACTTTATGTGAATTCTGGACTATGGCTCATCATAAGTTCTCCATGCTTCAATATGTGGTACTCTATATCTATGGTCTTGAGACCAACACCAACTGCATTAAAAATGGAGAAGAGGAGGAGGAGGAAGAAGATGAGGTTGGGAGGGGCTTATAATAGTTGGAGGAGGAGTAGACATAATCTAAATACATTGTATTATCTATGCAATAAGAAGAGTCCTTGAGTATCTTCACTCCTGTGGCACATTGTCAATCTTGACATGATAGTCCTTTAAAATCATGTTAAGTATGTGTCTGTGGGAGTCCAGGATATGTGATGGGAGTACTGGTGCCCTTGGTGGTCAGGAAAGGAAGTCAGACACACTGGAGCTGGGATTAGAGGGATCTATGAGTCACACTGTGTGGACATTGTGTGCTGAGCTTCTCTGAGAGCAGTGTGCATGCCTGACCACTGGGCCATGTCTGAGCTGCCTGCCTCTCACTTTCCCTATGTGTTTCCCTGTTATTCTCTGCACTAGCATTTTTCTGTGAATACACTTTCCCTCTAGCTTTGCAAATAAATAAATTTAACATTAAAATGGCATCCACAAATTATGTTTACTGCCTGTGGATATAATATTTTGATATATTGGGTTACATAAGATGTATTATTTAAATTAATTTTAAAGCCACTAAGATAAAACAGCACTTAGATGCCATCATTATGGTTCCTGGCACTCAACTGCTCATCTTAGTTGTCTTCTAAAAGCTTCACCCATTTCTAGAAATAGAAATATCATCATGTAATAGTGAATTTTAACTTATCACTCTCCTAAAATGTAAATATATTATTGTTCCAGCATTCTTCATGAAACCTATAAGGCTGAGTACATAATGAAAGGCGTGTGACTCTTAAACTTTTCATTCCAATTTGTTCTCCCTAGAGGAAGACAAAGTATCAGGATTTTCATTAACCTTCCAGAAAGTACTTCATCTGTGTTCTTTGGCATTTGCATGGAATAGTAGTGTTTTTAATAATAATCACACTACTATGTGGTGTTTTGACTTCATTTTATAAGAAATCTTTAAGCTCAATTTACATTAGTATACAGACAACTTGACAGACATTTGTTACTTGACTATATAGCACTCCAGGATCCAGATACATTAAAATATGTAACCAATCATATTCAATGATGTTTAAGTAATTTCCAAATTTATCAACATTACACTGATATCAATGACGTTTCTGCTTCTTGCTATGACAAAATACCCCAACAAAGGCAACTTAGGAAAGAAAGGGTTTGTTCTGGTTCATGATCCCACATGATAGATACATTTAGCGTGGTGAAGAAGGCATAGGAGAGAAGCTGAGGCTGATGATCCATGGCATCCACAGTCAGGAAGTCACAAGTGGTGGACGTTAATGCCCAGCTTGCTTCCACTGTGTAACTGTGTCCGAAGTCCACAGAAATAGTGCTGTCAGCACTTGGGGTGGGTTTCCTACCATAGTAACCTGAGGTGACCCCCACAAGCTAACCTAGAACAGACGGTGCTCACAGGAGGCAGGAGAGCTTGTTCCTGAATGATTCTGTATCTAGTCCAGTTGACCAACAGTAACTGTCGGAACACGCAATGACTAATCACATTGCTTCCATAGGAATGGTTCCAAAAAATTGTTCCCTAAAAACAAACATTGTCTGTGCAAACATATATATAGGATCTATCTAATGTGGGCAAGGCATAGATGTTCTCTCTCATAAGCACTTTTTATGTTTAAATTTGCTGAAGGAAAATGAAAACATAAAGCTTCAAAATAAGAAAGTATATATTCACAATGTCTCATTTTATCAAACGAAGAGTGAATCCTATTTAAATATTGAAAATATTTTTTTTACAGCCTCTACAGCTATTAAAGCAGGAGCACAAATTACTGTAGCAAATCCTTTTATAATATTGTCTAAAATAGAACCACTGTTTCTTTTCATATCATCGATGTTATGCTTCAAACGCTGTATTTCTCCATTCATTTCCTCAGATTTCTTCCTAAATCCTTCTTCAAGCAAAGCTTTTTGATCCTAAAACAGTGACCATGAGAGAGCAGTAAATATTTTAAAATCCTAGCATTGTAAGAGTTATAGTTTCAAACCTTTAAGAAGGGGTCCTTAGTGACCTCTAAAAGATATTCCTTACCATGAAGAAGACCCTGTGAGTTAGGCCTACACATTGTGGGCAAGGATAGCTGAAACTTCACCGATGTTGACCCATAGTGTCTGTTTTGGCTGTAGTGCTAGCAGGGGGTGCAGATATTCCCACACTCATGCCCACTGAAATGCCACTGGCCCAATTGTGCAGACCTCAGACCACTGAGAGAGTGGGGCAATCATATCATACAGATGGTGGCAATGTTGTTTTAGACATCTGTTACCATTTTGCTTGCAGATGGGCAATGACAGAATCACTCCAATTGTTGTAATTTAAGAAAATCAGGCTGTGAGAAAAAGATGTCATGCAAAGGGTTCAAGCAAAGGGTTGTGTTTTTCTTTTTTTAATTAGGGAAAGAGATCATAAAAGGTGAAAGGGAAGAGGGGAGACCAGCCTCCAGAGACAGGAGCAGCAGGAGAGAGAAGGAGAGAGGGGGAGAGAGGAAAGAGGGGAGAGAGAGATAGAAATGGAGGAGAAAAAGAGGGGAACAGAGAAAGGGAGAGAGAGAAAGAGAGAAGAATGGGAGGTAGGCAGGGATCTTTTAAAAGGGAACATAGTGAATATGCAGCTCTTAGTGGCTGCAGCTGAGGGCGTATCCTGTCAAAACCCCAAATCGAGGCCAGTACAAATGCCTGAATACTAACAGCAACGCCATGTGCTTTCTCTAACAGGCTGTGTACTCTGGAGACAGCTACAGACCCTGCAGAAGCTGCAAATTCCATGTGCTTTTCATCTGGATATTTCTTTCAGTTTTATGTCAGCATAAACCATCTTCAGATTGGGAGGGAGTGGCGTGAGTATTCAGGTGCCTGATAAATGGACCTTGAGAACACAGACCCATTGCTGGCCTTTATGAAACTTCCTGGTTGGGGAGTTTGTTTAGTGAGTCCCCGGGAGATAATTTTTAAATATCGAGACAGTAAATCAAATGACTACAGTCACTAAAACTCCAAAGGAGCAACTGAAATCCTAGGGGCCACCTCCATAGCAACATTACATTTTGGTGGTACTTCCTCTCATGACCTGGCTACAAACTTTCTCCTGCTCCCCAGGGTCTGAGGACTACCAGGGGGATGAGGATTCCCACCTGCAGCTGCTTCTCCAGCATCTTTTCCTGGTCTTTGATGAGCTGCTGTCTCTCCTGCACCAGCTTCGTTCTCAGTTGCTCTAGGTTTTCCTTGTGACTTCTCTCTTGAGCCTCCATCAGTTGCTGCTGCTCCTTCTGCTTCTGTCTTAGCAGCTCCTGCTCCTTCTCAGCCGCCTCCTTCTGGGCCCGCTCCTCTGTCCCAGGAAGATTCGGGGAGGGAAGAAGTGATGGGGAATTCAGGGTGGAAGAGGGGAAGAAGGTGATGGGTCAAGTAAAATGTCTGCATTCCAGAACCCAGAGAGCAATTCAGATCTGAAAGGAAACCAGACTCCCCACTGGTCCACACTGAGGAGAGAGTTTCTGGAAGTGATGGGGAGACACTGCCATTTGGCTAAAACACAGGTAGACTTCCTGTTGCTCTCAGGGTGAGCATCCACAGAAGGATAGAGGGCTGCTAGCTAATCTGGGGATGAGTTTCCTGTGGCTTCTATCAGGAAGCCATTGCCGGAATCTGACCCCTCCTGAAAGCCAAGAGACATCCTCCTGTACCTGCAATGGCCTTCTCCCCAGCGGTGAGAGCTGTATCTGCCTGCAGGATGGAACTCTCGATGGTGGCCTGTGACTGCAGAAAGTTCTGGAAGACTTCCCTTGCCTGCAGGACCAAGGAGCAAAGAACCCTGATGAATCCTGGGAGAGTACCTATGTGAGTCTACCCAGTCTTCACTGTGCCTCACTGTTAAAATGCTATGGTGAAGCCTGCAGACTGCCCATGCTCTTCAGTGGGACCACATGCTTCCTGGTCCATGGCTCCTCCATTCATCCTCGCTAGTGACACCTGCCTCCAACTCTCCCAGATCCATCCTGTCCATGTCTTGTGCAGCTGAGCTCACTGCAACCTATGATGCTCTCAAATATCGTATCCCGATGTAAAGTGCTGCATAACTGTGTGGGATTCACTTCTCTCTGCTCTTGCTGGATGTATTCATGGATGAGTCACTTCACCTGTCACTTCCCCTGCCTGGGCCTTGTGGAAAAGATGTGTAAACTGTCCACAATAGTTAATGCATCACCCAGAGCATTTAAGATAACTAAAGAAAGGTCTAAGGAAAGAACTCACAATGGTGTCATTGGCAACAATGCAGTAATACGTTAGGTGTGTTCTTACCTTTATTAGAACCCCATAGGTAGACCAACCTGATAGACTCACAAAGTGATTAATCAGAATATTTACATGAATATTTCTAAGAATTCATAGTAACTAGCAGCCGTTTTTAGCCAAGCACAGTTCTGGTCATGAGACTTGGGGGTAAAGCACTTGCCTTGCTTTGCAAAGTTCTGATATCTGTTGAAAACACTGACATGAAGCTAAAGATGCCCTGCTACGCTCATGTGTGCTTATTCCTCTTAGGCAGTGCTGTGCTCATGTTTTATGGCACCACCTTTCCCCTGCTTTTAGCACCCATGTGCCTTGTGCCTTTTCCCATGCTCCCTACTCCTCACCCCTGTCCTGTGCTCTCTACTCCTCACCCCTGTCCTGTGCTCTCTACTCCTCACCCCTGTCCTGTGCTCCCTACTCCTCACCCCTGTCCTGTGCTCCCTGCTCCTCACCTTCACCCCTTTTCCATGCTTCCTACACAACTTCACACTTTTCCTTTGCCCCCTACTCCTCACCCCTTTCCTATGCTCCTTACTCTTCACCCATGTTCATGCTCTCTACTCCTCACCCCTGTCCCATGCTCCCTGCTCCTCACCTTCACCCCTTTCCTGGGCACCTGCCAGTAGCCGTGTTCAATCTTCTCCCTCATTTCCATGTAGAGCCTGTGTCCTCCAGGAACAGAAAATGTTGAAATATTTTCCATAAAAGCCTTCGAAAGCCGATTCAGTTCTTCCTGGCAGAATTTATCTGATGCTTCTTCATTCTTCAGCATGAAAATGCTTTTCTTCTCATCTATCAATTCCTACAAGGGAAATGCGTGGAGAGATCTGACACTTTGAAGGAATAGAAGACATAAAATTCCAAGAAACTGTACAAGAGCCAACCTATTTCCCATGAGAAAGCATTCTAGTGTAATACGACCTCAAAGGAATGTGAAATGCTAAAACCTGAACTAGGATTCCAAAAAATCTATGCAGGACCACAGTAAATGTCCTTCAAGTTCCTAAGCCTCCTAACCTTCTGTAAAAAGATGGATCTGCATCTTACATCTCTGGTTCCTTGTGGGTGTCACATCCTGTAATTCTACCTTCAATGACACTGTGATATAACAATGAGTAATAGATGATAAACAGTGGCCTGCAGTGAGACTCTAGTGAGAAACTGTTTCACAGAAACAGAAGAATACAGCAAGTTCAGGGATGAGCTATAGGTGTTCTGGGCAGAAGAACAATCCACAAACATCAACTGGGTGAAGGATTTAGGACACTATATACTCATTATTCCAGCCATTACAGATTTCTGAATAAAAAAAAAAATCAGGTGAAGTTTAGGAGGGGACATTCAGTCTTTCACAACTGTATTAACTATGAACACAGAGAATGCTTATCACCAAATGAGACGAGCACCCGTGGTGGATGAAGGCTCAGCTGTACTACAGTCTTGAAGGGGTAGAATCATGACAGTTAATGACACAGACATTACCAGCAGCTTCTTCTGGAATTGCTGGTTTTCATCCTTGAAGGAGTGCTCCATGAAGACAGCAATGGCTTCCTTCTCACAGGCTGTGTGCTCATCCAGCAGCTCCTCGAGAGTGTCTGTGGGGAGCCTCAGTCGCTGGGTCATCTGCTCACTGTAATGGTCAGCTGCCTTCTGCACGGCTGCTGAGTTCTCTCGCTGGGCCAGAGTTGTCACAGCATCATCCAGACAAGGCACTGCTCCACTGTTGATGGCATCCACGTAGGTTGTCACCAGAGTCCCCAGTCCTTTATGAACCAGGAGTTTTAGAGGATAGATAAGAAGTTGTTAGTCAATGGGATCCAAGATGTTAAGACTACATTTCTAAATCTCTCATAGCTACATTTGCACACTCATAAACACATAGCCACATACACAGACACACCTCCTTCAGCAAGCCATCAGTCTCTTTCATACCGTCCCTGTGTGTTTGTAGTTTTCTAATTCATAGTGCTACAAGTCAATATCCATCTCCACCTAATAAATTCCACTGTATGAAAAATATAATTTTGCATTTAAAACTTTCAAGGAAAATGGATTGTATGAACTAACAAGGAAAAACATATCACATGATTTCTTAATAGTATCATTTTGCACAGGTTTAAACACTAGTATTTATAGTCGAACTATTTCAATTTCCGAGTTACATTTCACTTTGTCATGCAACTATAGAAGATATACCCTATGAAAATAGAATATAGCCAGGCATTGGTGTCGCATGCCTTTAATCCCAGCACTTGGGAGGCAGAGGCAGAGGCAGGCCAATCTCGGTGAGTTCGAGGCCAGCCTGGTCTCCAGAGTGAGTGCCAGGATAGGCTCCAAAGCTACACAGAGAAACCCTGTCTCGAAAAACCCAAAAAAAAAAAAAAAAAAAGAAAGAAAAAGAAAAAAAAGAAAGAAAGAAAAGAAAAAGAAAATAGAATATATCATCTTTAGTTGTTTAAAACTGATTTTATAGGTAATTAAGTCCCTTTTCACCAGTGACTTTATTATTAATTGAAAATTTTATATAGGTATGTTACAGACATAGATACTAGTGATGAAGTCTTTCAAGAAGGACTTGTAATCTACAATTACAAATAAGACATAGGTTTTTTCAGAGTAGAGATACAAGTGTAAGAGATACAAGTGTATTATCATTGTCTAAATAATTTTAAAAATATACACATACTAATAAATTCAACATGAACTACTCTATACAGAGTTGTGTTCAAAACAAAATGAAACACTCACGATTCCCAGTGACCTTAATTCCTTCTCTGACAGTCTTGATTTTTGCATCATTGAAGATGTAAGAAACAAAAGCACTTGTTTGTTCCTGGAACTTAGGATCCAGTTGGTCTTCTGAGACAGTCTCAATTTTTTGTAAGAGTTCTTTGTCATTTGTTGGCCGGTCAAACACAAAGCACTTCCGTTTAGGAAAGAAATGTCTGATGCACTCCCTGGGCAAATTGGATGCTTGGATTCTAGGATTGTTGCCTGGTGTTAGGGAAACACAGAGCAAGGGGGAACAGTCTTAGAGCAGAGAGCAAATGATGAAGGCTCTTGTTTATGTAGAATGTTCTGCACTCACAGGTCTCTTTTTACTCTTATCCAGTCCTGTTCAATATATCTGCTTATCTCTGTACATGCAATTTAAATTTAACTGTGCTAAGTCTCATTTCTGAATTGCTATGTATCTTTAAATGATGGTAAACATTTAAAGTCATAAAGGTCTAATTTAACTTTATATTTAAAATATAAGCTAACTCTATATAACTTAAATTTAACTGATGTATCTTTAAATGATGATGAACATTTAAAATTATAAAGGTCTATTTCAAATTAACAAAATATTTATACCACTCAGTCCATCCTGTAAGCTATTTACAGAGGTAAAGCTTTTTATTACAAAAGGGGACTTTCCTCTACTTTGATAAACAGACAGCCCTCAAACGCTGAGAGATCTAGAGAACATGGCATTTAAAAATGTTCTATTAAAAAGCTTTTATAATAGAGAGACAGGCCAGCTGTTGGCCCCACCCCATTTCCTCCAAGAAGACTGGTGGGCACCGAAGAAACTTCATCTTGAGTCAGTGGCAATGCTAGTCACTGAGCAACCCTGCCCTTCACCTCAACTGCTGCAAAGGACTCTTTGAACCATGGACAAGAGGACAATGGAATCGACTTTCCCCACGTTGCTTGGGTCAATGGTAGGTAAACCTTCCTACAGACCCTAATCCACAGGTCACATGCTATCAGCAAGAAGGCAGGTGTCCTGCAGCCCACAAACATGGAAGACCTTGGGGATGACTGTCCATGCAGCCTGCTGGCAAGTCTCTGTTATTCTTCAGTCATTAACTAAGGTAAAATCCTTCTCAAGAACTCTGATGCTTTTGATGACTGGTAGTCTTGCCAGTTCAAAGCAAAACAGATTTCAGGATCATGTATTTTAGGGTTTATCTATGTAAAGATAGGAAAGTGTAAGGTGTATGAAGGTCTGGGAATGTAAGTTACAAAGGTCTGAGGATGGAAAGGTCTAAGATAGTATTATACAATGAATGAATTAAAGTTATGAAGGTCTGAGGATAAAAAGGCTTAAGTGATGACAAATAAAGTAAGTTGAGACATTAAAAAGAATAAAATATGTTCTAGATTTCTCTCATTCTCATGATACTGTTCATAGTCAGTAAAGTTCTACAATGCCACTGTGCGTTCATAACTACAAGGTCAAGATGCTTTTCATTGTCCTAAATATATCTGTCAATTTTAAAATGTTAATGCTTTTAGCCAAGTTGATTCTAACATAAATATGCTGCTAATGTGTCTAATATTTATGTTTTCACAAACTCAAAGGATTCTTGTAAGTTCCAGGGAGCTGAATTGGACCCATCCAAATAGGTCAGATTCACTCCAGATATTATTCAACCTTTCCCTGGTTCTGGATTCCCTTCCCTCATCTTGGGACTCCTGGGGAACCCCCATCTCATCTTACAACTGTCCCCTCAAGCATCAGGACCTAAGAAATTTTTTTTTCTAAACTTCACCTTGTCCTCTGCTCTGCCAATATCTTGCCAGGTCTAAAAGGCACCAAAGTTCCATACAGCCTGGACTGTGATGGAGCAACCAGTTATCCCAGGAAGCCCAGGACGTGGCAGCACCCCAGCTCCCTCAGGTCCCCCAAAGATGGTCAATGCCCCCCCCCCAGGTAATAAGAAGTCTCTGTCCTTATTCCCTAACCTGCCACATCTAACACCCGTCTTTTTAAATAATAAGTAAAGGTGGGAATGAAAGGTTCAGGCATTATGCTGGCCTGCTCCTGTTACCTGGCAGAATCCACTCAGGCAGTACTCTAGTCAGCCCATGGTTCCATGGGAACTAAATCTGCATACAGGTGTAAAGGGCCCCTTGAAAAGATAGATCCCTGCCCACTTATGCTCTCTCTCCTCCTCTCTTCTCTCTTATGTCCTCTTCTCTTTGCTCTCTTCTCTCTCTTGCCTTCCTTTCCCCGCCTCTTCCCCTCCTCCACCTGGAATAAACTATGGTTAATGTATCTCTTGTTCTCATGTCTCTTTCCTCCAAGAAGACTGGTGGGCACTGAAGAAACTTCATCTTGAGTCAGTGGCAATGCTGGCCACTGAGGAACCCTGCCCTTCACCTCAACTGTTGCAAAGGACTCTTTGGACCATGGACAAGAGGACAGTGGAATCGACTTTCCCCATGTTGTTTGGGTCAACGGTAGTCAGTCTTCCTATAGTTCCCAATCCACAGCTCACATGCAATCAGCAAGAAGGCAGGTGTCTGCAGACCACAACCATGGATGGAGGACCTTGGGGGTGGCTGTCCATGCAGCCTGCTGGCAAGACCATGTTATTCTTTAATCATTAATTCAGGTAAAATCTTATCCTTCTCAAGAACTCTGATGCTTTTAATGACTGGTAGTCTGGCTAGTTTAAAATTCTACAATACCACTATATGATCACAACTCCAAGGTCAAGATTAAGGTGCTTTTCATTGTCCTAAAAATATATGTCAATTTTAAAATGTTAATGCTTTCAGCCAAGTTGTTTCTAACATGAATATGCTGCTAATGTGTCTAAAATTTATATTTTCACAAACTCAAAGGACTTTTGTAAGTTCCAGGGAGCCGAATTGGATCCAAACAAACAGGTCAGATTCACTCCAGATATTATTCAACCTTCCCCTGGTCTGGGTTTCCTTCCCTCGTCTTGGGACCCTCCTCCCCTCAAGTACCAGGACCTAAGAAAATTTTTTTTCCTAAACTTAACCTTGTCCTCTACTCTGTCAACATCTTGCCAGGTCTAAAGAGGTGCAAGAGTTCCAAACAGCCTGGACTACAATGAAACAACCACCTTCCCTAGGATGTGGCAGTGCCCCAACTTTCTCAGGTCCCCCAAAGATGGTTAATGCCCCCCAGGTCAGCAGGAAGCAGCCTTGATAACCAATTCCCCACCTTTTTATGATAAACAAGAGTCGGGATTGTTAGGATGGCACTGGGCTGACCCCACCCCTGATGACCAGAGGGTCACACACAGGGACTGCTATGCCATCACCACTCATCACGCATTATGAACCTGTGTGGGGACTCTGCACATGTGTGGAACCTCAGTGCACATGCCCTGTCTTCACTTTAAAAGATCCAACTTTTTTCCACTTCTCTCTTTCTGGCGATCGACCATGGAGGTCATTAACTCTCTCTCTCCCTCTCTCTCCCCCTCTCCCCCCCTCTCTC